TTGATTTCTTGTTGATCAAATTTCATATTTTTGAATGTCTTGATGAAATATGATTTTTGAAACTAAAATTTGATCAAGAAGTCAAAGTTTGACTTTTCAGTGTACATTTGACTTTTTTCATCAGTTGACCAAATTTTATCTATCAATCCACTGATCTCGGGAGATGAATTGAAATATGAGATTAGGTCAAAATGATGTACTTGAATCCTTGAGATCATGTTTCAAACCAATAAGTCATGTATTAGGTCAAAAGTCAAAGATTGGTCATTCTCAATCAAAACCCTAATTTTGATCATTTTTCCCTTTTGACGATTTGAATAATTTTCTTGGAGAATTGTGATCCAATCTTGATCAAATGATACATATGACTTCAAAATGTTGATATTGGTCCAAAATCTTGAAGTTTGACTATAGTTGACCGCAATTGACTTTTTTCCAATACAATTGATTTTAGGCCATCTGATCAATTGACTGGGCAATTTTGTGATCCAAGACTTGAAACTTGACAGGAGCAATCTTGAGGGTCCATAATGATCCATGAAAGTCATTTGAAATATTATAAGTCCAACTGTCTTTGTGCAAATTTAAACCCTAATTTGAGGCATCAGTGTTGAGGAGATGACTTGATCTAATCAATACTTGTGCAAGCTTGAATCATTGAAGATCTTTGTGAGAAGTATCTTGAGAAAAGGGAGGGAAAATTTTGGGGTACAACAAGTACGTTATCTTTCCAGCGCTTCAAACGGTGCGTCAAATATAGTCCTGAAACTCAAGTTATGGCCTCTGAAAGTTACTGCAATGGCTACTCGGTTGAGGCTCGCCCGACAACGCTAGAGGCGCTCTGCTCGCCTGGTGCTCGCCTAGAGACGCTGGGGAGAAATTCCATCCCCCATAAATTTTATAGGAGCTCTTCTTTCCACTATTTCCCTCGTCACTTGTCTCGCCAGTAACGCTTGGGCGCTCTCCTCGTCCGGCAGTGCTTGCGAAACTGCAACTTCTCAATTTTAATTTATGCATTGTTCCAATCCATTCCAATTGCGATTATAGGTACCATGATTATGCCAAAACACACTATAACCATCATATGTCACATATTAACACCAAATCATGTATAGACACATATTAGGATTTAATCATGGTATTTGTATATCATTCACATCAACAATTTCATCATTATGTCATCAAATCAATCTTACAACAAAAACCCACTTCCACCTTAACCCTCTATCCATCATAATAAACCTGATTAAACCTCTTAGCTCAAATTCCTATCGATCGATATGTCCCTTTGCATTCTACAAACTTTTCCTTTGAGCCCTAGCCTCTTCTTCATGTTTCCCCCGATGCTATCGCATATAATGATCTCTATTCTCCTATTTCCTCTTTTTACACCTTGGACCCTTTCTATTTTATTCCCCTTATACCCTCACTTATCATCACATTTTGCCACAATGCTCTTATTCTCCATTACAACTATTTATTCTATTAAATTATTAAAATACAAATAATAAAACTAAAATTATTTAAATCCAAATAAGTCTAATTAGCACCTTAGTTCCTTACTATCCCATAACATACCACACATGCACCACATAAACTCACAATAAATCATAAATAATTAATTAAATAAATAAATATCTTCTTTTGGGGTTTTACAACTCTCCCCGCTTAAAGAATTTTTGTCCTCGAAAATTATCTAACAAAAATAGAGTCGGATACGACTCTCTCATCTGATCCTCATGCTCTCAAGTCAAACTTCCATCAGCTGATTTACCCCACAGTACCTTTACCAATGCAATTCCTTTAGCCCATAACTGCTTCACTTCCTAACCTTCTATTTGCATGGGTGATGCTACAACTACCAGGTTATCTATCACTTGTACATTATTCATTTGGATCACATGTGAAGGATCCAGAACGTACCTCCTCAACAGAGATACATGAAACACGTCATTAAGATTCGCAAGCAACGGCGGTAAAGTAATCCTATAGGCCACCTTACCTATCATCTCTGGAATCTGATATGAACCAACAAAACACAGTGTAAGCTTTCATGACTTCAGAGCTCTACCAACACCCGTTACCAGAGTAACCCTCAAGAACACACGATCTCCCTTCTAGAACTCAAGTGCCTTTCTCCTCTTAGCATGATAAATCTTCTAAAGACTCGGTGAAGCTTTCGTCCTCTTTTGGATCATCTTTATCTTCTCATTGGTTTCCTAAATAATCTCGGGTCCAAGCACAACACTCTCTCCTGACTCATTCTAATACAATGAAGTTTTACACCTTCTTCCGTACAATGCTTCATATGGCACCATGCCAATACTAGCATGAAAATTGTTTTTGTACGTAAACTCAATCAATAGCAAATGGCTATCTTAAGCACCTCATTATTCTATCACAGAATCCCTCAACAAATCATTCAAAGACTGGATAGTCTTCTCTGTCTGACCGTCTGTCTGCGGAAGATATTCATAACTCAACTTCAACTTAGTACCAAAAACATTCTATAAACCTTCCCAAAACTGACATAAATATGAGATCTTTATCTGACACAATACTCGAAGGTATCCCATGTAATTTCACTATCTCTGCAATATACATCTCAGCTAACTTCTGCATAGGATGATTGATCTTCATCGACAAGAAATGAGCCGACTTAGTCAACATATCCACTATCACCCAAATCGAATCATTTCCCTTAGAAGTATTTGGCAAACCTGACACAAAGTCCATGGAAACGATATCGCATTTCCATTCTGGAATATTCAACGGCTGCATTAGACCTAAAGGCTTCTAATGCTCAATCTTTGACTTCTGACAAGTCAAACAAGGATAAACAAATTCGACAACTTCCTTTTTCATATTGGGCCACCAAAATAATTTCTTTAGGTCCTGATACATCTTTGTAGCACCCGAATAAATACTCAAAACACTTTGATGTCCTTCCTCAAGAATACTCTTCTTAAGCTCTGGCACATCCGAAACACACACCCTATCACCAAACCTCATTACACCATTTTCATCAATTCGAAGTTCACCTCTGTTACCTTGGTTAATTAGCAAAAATTGGTCAACCAAACTCGGATCATGTTTCTTACTTTCTTGAATCTCTTCAAGAATACCACTAGTCAGCTTCAGCATCTCTAACTTCACACTGTTAGGAGTTTCTTCACACACTAAACTCGTGTCTCTTAATTGCTTGATTAATTCTAACTCGTACACCATAAATATCGACATGTGCAAGGACTTTCTACTCAAAGCATCTGCCACAAAATTTACCTTACCAAGATGACAACTCAAATCAAAATCATAATCCTTCAATAACTCAAGCTATCTTCTCTGTCTCATATTCAATTTCTTCTAATCAAACAAGTACTCCAGACTCTTATGATCACTAAACACATCGAATTTGGATCCGAACAGATAATTTCTCCAAATTTTCAACACATACATAACAACTACCAACTTTAAGTCATGTGTAGGATAATTCCTTTCATGAACTTTCAATTGTCTAGAAGCATAAGCAACAACTTAATCATTCTTCATTAACACACTACCAAGACTCATCTTAGATGCATCATAATATACAATAAAGGGTTCATTCGGATTAGACAAAATCAATACAGGAGCAGTTGCCAACTACTTCTTCAACTTCATAAAACTTTCTTCACATGCTAAATCCCACACATAAACTTGACCCTTTCGAGTCAACTGAGTCAAAGATAATGTCAAATTAGAAAATCCTTCAATGAATCAGCGATAATAACCTGCTAAACTAAGAAAACTTTGAATCTCAATAGCAGATTTTTGAGTCTCTAATTGCAACACAACATCAACTTTAGAAGGATCAATAGTAATTCCTCCACTTGAAATCACATGGACAAGAAAACTTACTTCCTTCAACTAGAACTCCCACTTTGATAGTTTGACATACAACTTTTTCTCTTTCAGAACTTGCAACACAATTCACAAATGCTCCACACGTTCTTCTTCTAAATTAGAATATATATGAATATCATCAATGAAGACCACCACAAACTTATCCAAATACGAATGGAAAGTCTGATTCATATACTCCATATGAAAACACCCGGGTCATGTTATACTCCAATTTTTGCCCCTAAGATCCCCCGTCACATCATATACATCAAACGCATATCATCGGTTCCATGGTTACAGGATAAAAGGACTCTTTGAAATTAGGGTTTTTTCCTATGGGTTGAAGTTGCAGTCTTTCTCAAGTTGTTTCAGTTAATTCTCTCATTAATCTTGCTATGGAACTAGGGTTTTAGGTTACAAGCATCATGGTACAAGAAATGAAGTTGTGAGTTGCTTGTGACCAAAGGATTATTAGCTCTCTTGATTGATTGTTGATTACAAATATAAATTGATTTGAAGTTTCGTATTTGAATTGAGGTTTTTTACTAAGAATTGAAGTGGAAACATAAATCGTTCAAAGCTATTCATTTATTTTATTCATCGAAGTATGCCAAGACCAAAGCTCTTCACTCAATTCCAATTCAAGTAACATTCATCATTTCAAAGTTTCGTCCATATGTTTCAAGGTTCATCCAATATACCATTGTATCATTCAAGGGAAATTAGAAGCTTTTGTTAACGTAAAATAGACTTCATGTTCATTACAATTCACACCATGATACATTCATGTTCGAGAGTTACTGAAATTCCAATTTCTTTTCATACGAAAACCATTTAACCTTATTATTATACCATTACCAAAATACATTGATACTGTTACAAAATTTCATCCATGAAAACCTACAAAATCCAAAACCAAATTCCTAAGCCTATACATCTTCAAACTTGGTTTCTTCAACCTCCAAAATGTATCTTCATTAATCCTTCATGAATCTCGAGCTTTCATCAAATAGCCCCTGCATTGCAAATCAAATCTGGCACAAAACTCACAAGCAACAAAGATGTAAAAATTCATTTCCTTCAGATCTATCTATTTTCCCATTTCAATCTCAAACGCTATGGCATTTTCGAGATCCATCACATTCTCTGCGGTCCTTCTTCTCCTCGTCAACTGTAGCTTCTGTTTCTACCTCCCCGGTGTTACACCACAAGACTTCCAAAAGGGAGATACATTGCAAGTACAAGTAAACAAATTAAGTTCAACAAAGACCCAACTTCCATACACTTATTATTCACTTCCTTATTGCATCCAAAAAAAAATAGTGGACAGTGTTGAAAATCTCGGAGAAGTGCTTCGTGGTGACCGCATTGAAAATTCATGTTGTGTGTTTAAAATGCGTGAATAAAAAATGTGCAATATTGTGTGTAAGCTTGTACTTGACGCCAAAACAGCAAAAGCATTCAAAGAGAAGATAGATGATGAGTATCGGGTGAACATGATTCTAGATAACCTGCCTCTGGTTGTTCCCATAAAACGCGCGGATAAGGACTCTATTGTTTATCAGCTTGGTTTCCATGTTGGACACAAAGGGCAATATAGTAGGAGCAAGGAAGATAATTTTTTTTATACACAACCATTTGGCATTTATTGTCAGCTATCATAGATATTTGCTCACTGAATCTACTAGAATTGTCGGCTTTGAGGTTAAGCCATTCAGTGTCAAACATGAATATGAAGGGAAATGAAAAAAAAAACTTGTCTAACAACCTGTGACCCTCATGCTAAACATAAAGTTGTTAACTCCAATACTCCTCAAGTTGAAGAGGGAAAGGAAATTTTCTTCACGTATGATGTTGAATTCCAGGAGTGCGATGTGAAGTGGGCTTCAAGATGGGACGCGTATTTGCTGATGAGTGACGATCAAATTCATTGGTTTTCAATTGTGAACTCATCGATGATTGTTCTTTTTCTCTCGGGTATGGTGGTAATGATAATGTTGCGTACACTTTATCATGATATTTCAAAGTACAACGAGCTTAAGACCCAAGAAGAAGCACAAGAAGAGACTGATTGGAAGCTTGTCGATGGTGATGTTTTCAGGCCACCAAACAACTCAGATCTGCTGTGTGTTTATGTTGGTACTGGTGTTCAATTTTTTGGGATGATACTAGTAATAATGCTCCTTGCTAACCTTGGATTCCTTTCTCCTTCAAACAGAGGTGGGCTAATGACAATCATGCTTTTAATATGGGTTTTCATGGGGATTTTGGTTGTTTATTCATCAGCCCGCTTGTACAAAATGTTCAAAGGATCAGAGTGGAAGAAAATTACCCTCAGGATTGCAGTCATGTTCCCTGCTTCTGTCTCTGCTATATTCTTTGTATTGAATGGTCTTATATGGGGGCAAAAACCATCTGGAGCTATGTCGTTTGGAACAATGTTTGCTTTGATCTTTTTATGGTTTGGAATCTCAGTTCCACTTTATTTTTGGTGGCTATATTGGGCCAGGAAACCTGCAATTGAGAATCCCAAGGCAGATCCCTGAATAAGCGTGGTACATGAACCCGACCTTCTCAGTTTTGATAGGAGGAATACTCCCATTTGGAGCTGTTTTCATTGAACTTTTCTTCGTCCTCACATCAATCAGGTTGAATCAGTTTTAATACATCTTCGACTTCCTCTTTTTGGTCTTTGCCATCCTAGTTATCACTTGCACCAAAATAACAGTTTATCCATTGCCATGAATTAAAACTTTAGAATTTCATCCAAAGTTAAATTTAGCTGCACTAGTGTTTGCAAATGTGACAAGTGCAGACACTTCAAAAAATAAGGCCTCATACAGTAAAGAAGGGAGAAAGCAATTTTTTACAGTTTTACAAAAAGTGCACGGGTATCTTCAGCATCTGTTATAAAAAAAACTCCCAGCCTTGGGAACATCTGGAATGTCAGCAGAACATCAGTTTCAAGCTCAACTACGAGAGCATCATTTGAAAGGCCAACTAATCCTAATTTCCTCAATGATTCAGTCATTTGTATAGTAAAGCTACCAGATAAAAAAATGACCATTAACAGAATGGTAACAAGTAAAACTAACTTTCAGAGCCCTTAAATCACTAATCCCAACCATCTATTTCCTTAAGCGTTTTTTCAATCGAGGGTTGAGATTGATTCTAATCTCTAACCAACTCTCAACAAACTATAACAGAAATTATAACAGAATTGAGAGGGAGAAAGGAATGATAACAGAAAATTCACAAGAAATAGAGAACTCACCACAAAATTTCATCTCTCTCTCTTTTTCTGCAATCACTCGCCATTCTTCAATAATTTTGGGAGAATCACCACCAACTTCACCTTCAATTCTCTCTCCCTAATCGTTCTTCACTACAACCTTCACCTTCATTGCTACAACAACCTTCGTCAACTTCAATCTTCAACAATTGCACCTTCATCTTCACTTGCTTCATAACACGCACTAACGATGTCACATAACAACTTCAACGAATAGCATTCCACAAAATTTACAAAAACAATAGAATCGCAAGCAGGAAGAAGAATCACGAGCAGAAGAGTTTTTTTAGAATCACGAAAAAGAAGAAGAAGGAGGGGCTCACTTAGAAAGCAAAACGGAGAATATTATCATTACCTAGATTCCGCAGCTAGCTTCAGGTTTCTTGTATTATCATCACCATTGAAAGCCCGTCGAAGATATTCTGGTAGGTAAGCCATCGAAATTTCTCTTTTCTCCATCTCTTTTGCAATCTCTTCCTTTACGGTGATGTTGAGCCGAATGAACAAAATCGAAACCCCATAGAGATCGTTGATTTCTGGCTGAGCCTCTTGTTTAATCTGAATTTTCGTGTTTAAGGGTTTTAGCAAATCAATTTCAGATTTAAGGTCTCTAAGTTAGGGTGTTAGTGGTGTAGATGAAGGGTTCACGATTAGCCGATAGAGGCGAAGGATGCGGTGGCGATTCAGTCTTGATTGTCACAGCAGAAGAATAATTGGTACGGCGGAGGAGTGCGTCGATAAGAGGTAACAGCGTTGAGAATGAAAGAGAAAAGAAGAACGGTCATGTTATTGACCTAAATTCCCAAAAACTCCGTCGTTTCCTTTTGTTTGACTTTCTCTATTTCTTTTCTTTTTGATAATAAAATTGAATCAAAAGCATGGTAATTGGAATAATGATGGAAATTGGTGATGTGTTGGACCGAATTTACTAGACCCACCGCAGTTTTTTTTTTGCACGCTTGGAATGGATTTGATAAAAAAAACAACACTATGGACCGAACCACCCTTTGCTTGGGCCTGTACCATTCCTTTTTTGACAACTTCATGCTCTTATAAAAAAAAATGCTTCATGGATTGGGCTTTGAACCAGAATTAGGATTGCTATTCAGCAGTTTTATGTATAGATTGCACCCCCTGTTTTTTTATTATTTCCATTTTTGTTTGGATATGTTTGATAATTGTTTTGTTTGATTTTTTTTCACATAACAAAAAAATTATAAAATCAATAAAAATTTGTTAGTTTTTTTTATTTGGTTTTAGGAATTAAATCTCGATTATCAGATTACTTGAGATGTTGTAATTCACCTTTGCTTGTTGAGATCGAAGTCTTATGCAGGTTCATTACGTGATATGCGGATGCGCTTGAGATTTCGATTGTGATTTATTTTCACATTGATGATGCTTCGGCACTTATTCCACATATTTGATTTTGACTCTTTTCTTTGATTGATGAAGTTTTTGCGAAGATCTTCAGATATAATTGTTTTGATACGCTTTGCTATGGATTGACTCCGGTCTGGTATTTTCTCTTGTTTATCTCATTTCAGCACTTTACTTCTTTTCTAGATATCATGAGAAGTGGGAACTTTACTTCTTTCTAGATATCATGAGAAGTAGGAACTTTACTGTTTTCTAGGTATCATAAGAAGTAGGAAATAAAGAGTGTGCGTTCGAAGTCATTGTTTAAAGTCTTGTAGCAGGCACCACTATCTTTATGCTATTTGTGTTTGTTTAAAACTCTACCTTTGAAGTAGGTATTCCGCACGTGTGTTTACATTTGGGCCCATATTATATTACAGATGATAAGTCCTCAAAAGGAGGCGAGCGGGGAGGATTCGTAATTGACCCCTGCACATTCTAGTCCATGTCATCCTTAGCTCACGTTGTACATTGATGCTTCAGAGTTATGCCTACTCTTATTATCGAGTTCGTCAAGTGGGGAAGGGTTTTACAATCAAACCCCCACACTTTATCAGGAGTTCGCATTGGTCGATACTGACACTCCATGATCGTTCATATTATCTTCTGTCGCCTACCTTCATCTTCTATATCTTGCTTAGGTGTTCAGTCACTTTGGACATCATATTTTCGTTTTACATTCTGCACCCGCTTGTTTGTCTCAAGTGATCTTCTCCCCTTGGCTAAAGCATTTCACTTATTTTCTTTACCATTTCATATGTATGCTTTTTGAGTTTATTTGCTTACCCGCTTTCTATACCATGTTCCTTTGGGATGTGCTTGTTCCTTTCGGATGCAAGTTAAACCTTAGGTTTCTAACCATGCATTCTAAAATAGGGCAGAGGTTCCCCTTTCCATCCATGACATAGGGCCATCATTGTATGATAACACTAGGTTAGAGATAAGTTAGTCTCCTTTAGATGTTTTCTTCCTATTTTTCATAATTGCATTTAAAATTAAAACTCCTTTTTATTGGAAAAAATATATAAAAAAATGCTAAGCATACAAAAATTCTTTCTGTAGTAAAAAAACACCAACCAATCCATTTATTTTTTCCACTCGGTTTTTCTCTTTTGAGAACGTGTTGATTCCTTTCGACTACGGTGCGTGAGTCTTCAATGGTCGAGCCATGGTGGAATGATTGAGATTATCATTGTTCATTTAAAAAATACATACAAACTGAAATTTGTGAGCCAAACTACAGCGCTCTGATTCCTTAAAATGGATACGTGGGCATCTGGTCACGGGGCTCTGCCGAGTGAAAATTTGTAAATATTTCCTTCTTTTCCCTATGTTTTCTTTGCATGCATCCCCTCTTAGTTTTTATAGATCTTGAGCATTAGATTGAACTCACCCTTTGATTAGAACAACAAGAGTGGATTTCATAGAGTACTAAAGACACGAGGGGGGCTAATACCTTTCCCTCACGTAATTGACTCCCTTACCCAATCTCTCAGTCACAAGACCTTGATTTCTCCTCTTTAGGTTTTTCTTCGACGATGTTTTCCTTTCCCTTTATGTGGGATAAATAAATACTTGGTGGAGACTTCATTGATTTTACCTCTACAAGGTATTAGATACATCAAACGACATTACCATACCTTGTTCTGAATGTCGTCTTTGGAATATCATATGGTTTAACACGAATCTAATGATAACCATACCTCAAATCAATCTTGCTGAACACACGAGCACATACCAATTGATCCATAAAATTGTCTATTCTCAGAAGTGGATACTTGTTCTTGATAGTCACCTTATTCAACTTCCTGTAGTCCATGCACAACCTTATACTACCATCTTTCTTCTTAATCAACACCACAAGAGCACCCCACATAGAAAAGTTAGTTGAACAAACTTCTTCTCAAGCAATTCTTCTAATTGTTTCTTCAACTCAACCAACTTTGATGCTGACATCCTATAAGGAGTCATTAACATCGGACTCGTACCTGGTATCAATTCTATAGCAAAGTATACCTCACGCTCTAGAGGAAAATCACTGATTTCATCTGGAAACACTTCTAGGAATTCATAGACAATAGATAATTCAACACTTGCAGCTTTACAACTGACCTTCAATGCAGAAAACATCGCAAACATTAAAACTTCATCTTCTAAAATTACTTCTACTTGCTTAGTACACAAGAACATCATCTCTCCATTATCACTAAACTGAGAGAACCTCACAGTCTTGCTATAACTATTGATAACTTGATATGAACATAGTTGAACTCCAACCAGTTCATCCCAAGAATAAATTCAATTTGGTGCAAGGGTAGACACACTAAATCCATCATGAAACTCTTACCATAAATGGTCAAAGCGTAACTCAATCAGACTAACACGGTAGTCACAGAGCCATTAGCCAGGGTATCGATCACCATAATCTCACTCATGGAATATAATTTAAAACCCAACATAGTAGCACATTCAAGAGAAATAAACGAATAAGTAGCACCAGTATCAATAATAACAACCAACTCAACATCATTAATAAAACAAATAACTCAAATCAAGTTGTCCTTCTTGGAATCCTCTGATCCACTCAAAGCAAACACTCTACAACGAGTATGGGCAGAAGTAGAAAAAGTTTTCTTTGGTTTATGACATTGAGTGTTGATATGACCTTGTTCACCATAATTGAAACAAGTTGGGCTATCGTTCTTGTAATCAAAAACATGATGACCTCTCTTACCATATTTGTAACATCTCAGAACCTTATCATTGCAATCATTAGCACGGTGACCCTGCTCGTCGCACTTAAAACACCTGACAGGATCGGGAGCTTCTCCCCCACTTTGCTTCTTCTCATCAAAAACTTTCTTCTTCCCTTTATCATCCGGGGTACTATAGGGTTTCCCACGATCCTAGTTCTTCCCTTTCTTCTCATTATAAATCTTATAATGGGAAGTTTTGTTCCTACTATCTTGATCAAAGATCATGCACTTGTTCACCAGTATAGGGAACTGGAGAATCTCAAGATACCCAATACACTGCTTAATCTTCAGACACAGTCTATTCTCGAACTTGATGCACTTAGACACTTCAGCTTCCGAATTATGTTAATATGGATAATAATTCACTAGATCCTCAAATCTAGCAGTATACTCAACAATAATTGAACTCCCTTATTTTAGTTCTAAGAATTCAATCTCTTTCTTACCATGCGCGTCCTCAGGAAAGTACTTCTCTGGAAATGCAACTCTGAATATAGCCCAAGTGATCTCTGTACCCAGAATTTCCATCCTCTGGCGTGAATTCCCCCACCACTCTTCAGCTTCTTCTTCCAACATGTGACCACCAATTTGCACCTTCTA